ATATAATGCTACTTTTATTAATAAAATTAGCACATCGATAAATATTCTGTGAGTTAAAACAGTGTTAAAGAGTAGTTTCTTTCTTAAAAAAAAAAACTGAAAATAAACTGCAACAGGATTAGTGTGATTGTTTCATTGAGTATTGGGCTTGCTGTCAGAACTTGCACATATACAATGGGAAAACAGTGAGACCAGATTTAGTTTGTTAACGTTATCTTAACTTAGATGATATTCAGGAAACGCAGTCGGATGTCAAGTGACGATCAACAACTAGGCAAACTGGATATGTAAACGGGTTGGCTATGTCATCAATGCGGTTTAACGTGCGTCACGTTGATAGCATAATAGAATCATGTGCTATATAGATATTGTCACAGTTTCCAATCAGTTCTCCAAAGTCACTCGTTTCATCGTTTCATGCGTTTTTTTGAAGTACTTCAATAATATTTAATATGAATAATAATTATTAATTTTATATTGTTCCTTATCATTAGTGTTTTTGTCGAAGTGATATTTTCGATAGGTACTACGAACAATAAACTGTTATTTAGTTAAACAAACTGCATGATGCAAATGATGATCTAACGGTTTGTTAATTATTAGAAGTGTTCTAACCAAAAGAATTTAATTTCAACGTAACCAAAGAAATATTTCAAATCATGCCTAAGTGAAAAAGTTCCCTGCAGATTTCCGAGCAATTCCCGGGGGGAGCTTTTCCTAATTTTCACTGATGTTTGAAGACTATTTATCTGTATCGAAAAGCTAATCTTTTTCTCATCGGTAATAGAATGAGTTTTGAGTACCAATCGTTTTGTTCCTTCATCGGACAAATACATTGTCTGAATGCGCTTCACTTTCTTCACTGCGTCTGACCAAACAGAAAGTGTTCCACTACTTTTTTTAAATTCACCTCACATTACATTTCTCACTGATAGAAGTGCCGTAACACTTAATATGCAGAATTTATTAGAAATTGTATTGTTTGTTAATTGTTTGCGCAAAAATTTTTCATATAACGCTGAAAAGATGTGCATTCGATTGATATAAAAGCAGAAACAAACGTTGCCTTTAGCAATTGGTTTACTTAAGTGGAATAACAGTACAACCATGATCGGATAAAGCTTCTATTATTTAACCCGGGCAAAGTTATAGAAATAAATCGATTTCGAGCCGTTGCTCCTATAGGAAACGCGATTACACGCTGGGAGGATGCTCCCTGTAATGCTCATTGAATTCGTTGAATGGAAATTATGCGCACTCGTGCGCGCGGTCTGTCGAATCCAGTGACATGGGGTTTAGAATTTTTTTTCATGTACTTACATTATGCAAACTCCCAACACAATGTTAATTGGAGTTTCTAATTGATTTAACTCAAATTATGAAATACAATCTTGCCAGGTGAAGTTATCTAATTTTAAATTTATCCAGTGTCATTTAAAATATTTAACTTCTGTTATATTCTGCAGGATTTTATTTTATCACAAAAATCCGTTAATTTACAAAAAAAAAGCCTTTCATTTTTGTGATTTAAAAAATATGTTAAAATTCTCTATTGTAGTTTTAAACATTTGGAAACAGAAGTAAGATGCAGTTGTTGATTTTCCATTGTCGGTGACGATTTCGCATAACTTATAATAATCCATTTTCTAATGGCGATCATTATGGACGTTTCGCGTACCAACAACCCTTTGCATTAGTCGTTGCGACACAGTTCGCTATAGTAAAATTGATTACCAATAGTACAGTGTGCTTTCTGTCTCCTCTTCACCTCCTCCTTTTGGACAGTAATGATGTTTTGATGCGAGAGACCTGGTGCTCCATGTATCGACTGCAGTTAACTAATGGGAGCTCTCCGATAATTGCAAATAGTCAAAGGGAGTAAATGTTATTGTGTGGCAGTAATCATCGTTACCGAGCTGTACATACATGACAGAAAAATTATTTTACCTCTAAAAAACGTTTCAAATTTATTACATTACTTTTATTAGAACAAGATTTAAAATAACTTTTCCTTTATTATTCATTTCCTACAAAAAAAAAATAAATACTCTTTCGTATTTAGTTACATACTTTTGAACTTGATCAGTCATTCAATCATTAAATCAATTATTCAATTGATGAAGAAGAATAAACATTGATGAGAATAATAAACTTGATGTACATCAATATATCATTTTCTACAATACTGAATCTAAAATAACAAAGTTTTAAATTGTAAGCAAATAATAAATGACAATTTCGTTTTCGACTTGCATGACCTCATTTTCCTTTTTCCTCGTGTAAATGTGTAAAAAATTGAGACGTTTGTCATTGATCCACAAATCGAAGCATTTGTCCTCAACTATAGAGGTGCATTCACAGTGAATGCGGATTTCACATGCCGCAGTATATGTATCTAGGCGAATTTAAGCATATTATTCATGTATGCGCACAGAGTGCACTAAATTTAGCCACGGTACGGGAGGTCATGCAAGAGACACCCGTGCACCCGTTACGGTGAGTTTTATACTCTTTTTACGCGAAACCGTCATATGCTCGCCTCCTCTTTTGGCTCCATAAAAATGCAGGGTCCTTCGCAACTCACACAATCCACTCTCTCTCTTTCTCTCTCGTATGTTCATCGATCTTTTCCGCTAAAATTCTCTCCCATCCACAATTTTCTTTTGTCAGAATATTTTTCCTTCACACGCCCAAAATTCGCGCGTAAACCAATAACTGTTGTTGTAAACGGACTTTTGGGATTATTATGAAAGAAACGTTAATTCTTTCTTGAGACACAATTTTTCTGATGATATCAAAATTGTGACAAAAAAGGAATCAAAAGTGTTGCTTCGTGTCGCGAAGCAACACTTTTGATTCCTTTTTTTGTCACAATTTTGATATCTGTAGAAAAACTGATTAGAATGAAGAATTAGTTTCACACATTAATTCTTGTCTCTTGAATATTTACAATTTACACGCTGGGCTATTTGAAATGTAAAGTTTAATCGGCTCTCTGGGGTTGGTGGCGAGTTTTCCAGAGACGGTATTTTTGTTGGTTTCTCGCAGATTGTTTGTCGTGTGGATGCGCACTGGTGTGAGAATTCAGTAGGTTGGGCAGTCTGTCGGTTCTCTATGTTTATATCTATCTCGCTCTCTCTCTCTCTGGGGTGGCATGGCGCGCCATTGTTCAGGCGATATTTCAGCGTCGGGGTGGTCGACGGGGCGCGGGAGTCAGCTGGCTGTGACATGCCGCCTACGTTGGCAGAGGGGAATCATATAGTGGCTTAGAAGCACCAGAAACTGAAAAAGGTCTCTATGATACTTTCTTTCCATCCCTCACCTCCTCATCTCAAAAACAATTTTATTAAACGATTTTCTTGGATATCTCTCAATTCTCGACTTTTGCAATACCAATTAACAATTCTTACCATACCAATTCTTGATCCAGCAGTACAAATATAAAGATTTCAGTTTGTACCGAAACCATCTTCTATTTAACACTTTGAAACTTGAACTTTGAATCCTCTGCTGATGCTAACTATGGAATTTATTTAATTTTCCAACAAACTTTCGATGCATCATTACGTGAATAATAATTAAATGAAATGCTATTTAATGAAAAATTGCAGTTGACAATAATTATTCAATACGTTAGTTAACCTGTTGATAAAGCAAATGCTTCTTCTCTTCGAGTGTATTTGGAGAAGTGAGCTATGGTACTGATTCCGAATTCAACCGGAAGCTAGTGGGCGGCAATAACATGACAATAGAAGGGTGCTAGAGCGCACATATCTGTATAATAAACGGGAGTTTAATAATTATTATTCATAAGACTCCCTCTTGCATTCTCGCGAGAGATTCGGCCAAGCGTAGAACTACGCAAGAAAGAGCTGCCGCAAAACAAGGGGTTCATTTCTCGAGAACCCCTCTGGCCAGGGTAGTTTGTGGGTGAATCGAAAGTCAGAAGATAGAGGAGGAGGTGGTGGTGGTCGACATGGTGCTGCTTGAGTCAGTCAAGCAGAAACCCAATCACTTCCGGCGTCTGCGCCCATTAGGGCGCCGCGACGCTGACGTCGGCTGACGTACACCTCTTTCCTTATCCCCATCTCGCCCCCTTTCCTCTTTCTCTCTCTCTCTCACTCTCTCTGTTTGTCTCTCTCAACAAGCCCTAAAACACAACCGCAAATCTATTGTTTGGTAACCGCCTATTTGAAAGCATCCTTCAGCGTGGCTAATGATGTACTGAGGAGGACGTTCTTATTACACTACTCCTCTCTGGGCATGAAGAGCTCTTTCGTTAAACGAGTTTTCTACCCTTCTTTCTTGCTTTTAACGGCTTTTTATTTTCTGAACCTAAACTTTCAATGTTGGGTTCCCAAAATCTCCAAGTCGCAAAGTAAATGCTAATAAAGAAAGTTTTATTCTTGCTCTAGGTAAATTTCGAGTGATAGATAAAATTACACTTTATTTACATTCTCTGCTGTAACAAACCCTTGTGGAAAAGTCGATAAGGCGCCAATGTGGCCCTAACTGGGTTTCCCAATCTCCAAAGTGGGCAAGCCAGTCAACTCCCAAACTAGGCTTGTAACTCAATTAATAACCAATGTTGGGGAAACCTAGTTATGGAGCCAGATTGAGTCATTCCATTCTTATTGGGCAGCATATTATTTAAATAATAATTTAATCCAACAAAAACATCTTTGAAGCAAAAAGTTCCGACGAGTAAAAGTTTTAGCAAATGTCCAAACAATCAGTGAAATAAAAATTTACCAAGTAAAATTTATAACTAAAATTTTAATATTGAATTGTAACAAATATAAAATTTATTTTAATGATTAACATAAGCTGCTAATGGAATTTAATTATTCGTCTTAATACAAAAATTACTATTTGAATAAACTTATAGACAAAAATTTTAAAAAACAGTTTTCCAAATAGTTACTTTCCGTAAACTATAGATTAATTTTTTTAATATGCAATTATCTGGGTTACTAATTACATTGTCTTTTCTGTTATAGGTTCATTAATGCGAGACGCAGAATCGTCCAACCTATGATCGATCAGAGCAATCGAGCCGGTAAGTCGAAAACAGTTATTTAAATCATTTTTCTAACACAATACAACATAACATTTAAAAAAAATTGTTTGCAAGAAGAGTAGATTAAATTACAATCAGTCAATCATACAATAATTATTCATTACTCATGTGAACTTTATTAACAAATTGAATTACCATCTATAAATATAATTCTTTGTTAAATCTCCTGACAATGAGTGTAAATTTTTTACTGATAGATGTGTAAATAAAATTTGCACTTGAACATTCGTCCATAGACGAAAAATTGGTATTCTCTGTAGTTTCTCAGATGTTGTTTTGGGTGAAAAATTCAAAAGCGTAAAGTCTTTTTCGCCCTCTAATCTGTAAGAACGTCGTCTTTACGAGGTGGGAATCACTTCGTTTGCAGTAAAAGGCGACAACAACGGCTCCTGGGAGGGTTGAAGATCAGACTTGTTGTCTCACACCCCTTCATCGAAAAAGAGGGCTTGAGGGTTCCCGGTAGAGTAGACAGAAGGTGGATAACGTTCGGATAATGGTAGGATAATTGGTAGCGGTGATCAGAACGAGTTTTACGATCCGACAACATGCGTCTGTTCTTTTGGAAACCCTTCTCCATCATTCTTGTGCAGTTCACTTCTCTTTATTTTCCCCATTTTACTTCTCTAAACAGTTTCTTTTTTCCGAATCTCAAACTCTTCTGGCCTTACTGCTTTTTTTCCTCCTCAAGAAAACTACAACTATAGAGCTCTTATACGGAAACTTCCAAATCGAGGGAGGTGTTTTGGAATCAACGGCCGAAACACAGGGTGATTCGCCTATTTTTACGACTGTAGTCTATATATTGCGGCAAAAACCCACCCTTCGTCTCGTAAACACTCACTGAGTTACGGGTTGTTTGCTTTTAGGAAACTAGGCTTTAAGGGTTTGCTGTAGTTGAAAATAGAAATTTTTTCCACATCAGACAACAAATTAGAAATTACTCTCGCGCAGCAGGATATATACTCCCAAAAATTCTCTTTAATAATTCTTAATTTAATAATTTCTCGGGAATTTGTGAAAGTGTATTATTACCGGGAATTCTTATAGAAGTCATTCCACAATATTTCCCGATGAAAACTGGAGAAGGATTTTGGTTGTTGTCACCTCTAAAGATATTGCTATAGAAAGGCGTGCGTGTATCGATGAGATTATGGAATGAGAAAGCAAAAGAGACACACGGTCCTATACAGAGTAAAGTGGAAACTCATGTTCGTCAAATTATCATCCTGAAGTCAATTCTGATCATTACCAAGTCCCCTTTTTTTTCTATCCTTTTCTTGATTTCTGTCTGTGCTTTTAGATCTCGGTTAACTTGTCATTCCGTCACTCTTTTTGTAAGTACTTTTCTGTATATTTCAGTTATTTACCTGTCGTCAACAATTCAAAAGTCACTTTAAAAAATTGTGGGCGAAATGATTTATAATCCAAACGATTCGACTGCTTTAATGAAAATCTTGTAAAGTATCTGTTTTTTCTAATAATTAATATAAAACTTATTTCGGTAGACTTTGCTTATTAGATACAATTATCACTACTTTCCTGAATATTATTTTATCTAAATGAAAGTAACATTATGTAAAATCCCCCACAGGATCTAAACTTGCAGGATTATTGACAACATTGTCTCAATATTATGAAACTTGTAGCAATGTTGTTAATTGCTGCAGATTTAGATGATGTGTTTCTTGATGAAGAATAAGATAAAAATACATATGAAATTAAAAAGAAAATATCAAAAAATTATTACTATTATAGAAGACATTTGTTTCCTAATGGCTAAGGGTAGATTCTCTTGTCCACGTCAGTTCTTCATCTACCTCTGCATCAAGAATCCCTTCGAGATTTCATCCTTCCTCCCTTGCTTTCCGGAACCTATATTCTCTGATACTTTAATAGTCGAAATATTGCCCCAAGGGCAGATTTTGTTCTTTCGGAAGCTATAAATGATAAATGTGCCAAACTGTATTATATGATACTTTTCTATCTTTGTAGCATTTAACTTCTTTTTGATATTTTATAATGTTCTGGTAATGGATTTTAGTAATTTTATAATGTTCTTGTTATGGATTTTAGTAATTTTTGCATTCTGTAATGCATTTTAGTTTTAGGATGGTATTTTTTTTTAAGTGTAATGTTAACTCAATTTTTGTGACAAGACCATAAAAAATAAACTCATTGAAATGAAAAAAGAACATAAGAATCTTCATTAATGAACTCGAGTTTATTTTAAAGAGTATTTCCTAGTTATTTGAAAGCATTACATCTTTGGCTGTAATGATGTTCAGGTTGGCCGTGTCATCAATCATACTTTCATTATAAGGATTGCCTGCTCTGCATTGACTCGGCGTGCCCGCGGGACATTGTTATTACGAGTTACACTGTATACGCGTGTATATTCCATACGGACAATACATCGCGGAACGACGAGCCTTATTTAAGGCATGATATTGCCTATAGCCAATCGAGAGTTTATCATCTGATTGCATCGGTGAGTTTCTATCGGAGTAAAAGATTGATTCTAATTTGCACATTGTTGATATACATTGAAATTAACTGAAATATTTATCCTTATATTCAATGAAACATTGGCAATAATAGTTTTTCTCAACTTTGCATATTTGGATGAATTACAAAGTGGTTGTTATTGGCTCGATTGTCAAATTGCAAATGGGCAAATTTGTGAAGGGTTGAGATTGAGCAATTGGGAATGCGTTGATTGAGCACCAGTTCGTTGATATTAGTATAAAATTAGCTCCCGCTGGTAAACGAGCGGCAACGGTAAATGCTCGTATGGGTTTAATGCTCCCGTTCCTAATACCGCTCATAAAACCACGATCCCTTTTAAATCCCCTCCCTTCAATCACACCCGCGTATGTACACGCGCACGGCCCAGTCGAACTATAAACTATAAACCCGCAGTGCATCATTTTACGATGTACAAGCTGCCACGTTGACTCCCCTGCCTACGTTTCTATTAGGTTTATATGACGCGAGAGGACTTCTCCCTATAGTGGGCTATTCTACGTAAGCGTGGGAGTATATAAGTGGAGTGAGACTTTGTATGAATTATTAAGATCTGGCTTTCAATTATTCGCGTCTTGCTTAAACCATTTTTATCCGCCCTTTAAATTGAAGCCATAAATTCTCTCCGTTAAAATCCTTTAAACAATATTTGCTCAACAAATATTGAATGCCTATTGTTCCTTCTGAAACAGTATTTTCAATTCTTCTAAACCTTCTAATCTCAATTGATTCTTTGACTGATTGTAGAAAAATTGAATTATTTGAAAGGGAATAAAGTTTCTTTAAGAACTGTTGTGAAAAATGATTTGCGAGGGTTCTTTTTATTATCGTCCGATAAAAACATAAGACCTTCTGTCGTAGACACTGATGGCCTGGAGTAGTTACTGCTCAGTTGGTAACACTGCTTGAATCGCCCTACGTGTTTCCGGAACGAGGTTGTAAAAACGTAACAGCGCCCTGAAGTGCCGTAAAGCTCTGACCGTAAGGTGCATTTCATGAGAATAGCGTAACAAGGGGTCAGAGTGCCATGGCGGAGTTGAAACTGTTTCTCATCTGATGATTTTCACACTTTGGATGCTTTCAAAGTCAATTGATCCTTTCTTTACTGTTGAACTTAAGGAAAAAGTGTTGTCGTTGTTTATTGTATGTATGAAAAAGAAGTTGCTGAAATACTGGACACTTTACTCTAGAGCTGTAATTGTCTTGTGTAATTAAAATCTCAATTGTCAAGGTTGTTAAAAATTAGCTAAAAAAAAGTCTATACCATAATTGATTGTCAATGTTTGAGAATATTTTTTCGTTAACTCTCATCAGTTCACGATAATAACTCTTCTCGGAGTAAAGTAATATTACAAAAGTAATAAATGACTTTCCTTGAATTTCTGGTACTATAAACTCAATAAACATCGCTCATTTTAACGTTCACCTCCGCCTTTAGGTGCTTTACGCTTCAGAGATGCAGCATTACTTGGCTTCTCTTGGGACTTCCTACTACGTGTCTATCGGCAATGTCATAATTGCAGGTTTTGCTTATTATGTTTAAGCATGACGGTAGCGGAGGTCAAGTTCCCTCCATATGGAAGTTTAAGCTATAGATCACAAGGTACCTCGGAGGTCTGCACGTACACCGCGGAAAGTTGATTGTCATTAACGACTGCGACTTGAGAAATTGAGATGGTGCTATCGATTAATGACCTTTCTCTTTTTGACATTAATATGTTCGCTAATGTCTAGTGAAATAATCTGAAAATTGTGTTTAATCTTTCTAATCAAAAACCGAATTACAATGTACAAGTTCATGTGTCAGATCACGTCACTTTTTATACACAAGTTCCCGCAACAAGAATTCAAACTAAAAATGTACATAATATTTTATGTACATAGTTGAACATTTACGTCTGCGCACATAATTTTACAGTGCAAGGCGATTTTCACGCTTGATTGATTATGCTCCCATGTATATTTTCATTGTTTCATTTCCTGTTGCGGGAACTTTTGTATAAAAATAAATGTACAACTTGCACAAGAATTTTCAAACGGAATATATTTAGAATGTGGGTCGTATTTTGAAAAACTTGTATTTCCTCCGGCATGAGGGGTCGGCTTCATCGAATATTCCGCTCTGGCCAAGTTGGACCCTATCGAATCTAGACATGGATCATTCGTCACGCACTCGCTGAGAGGTTCGCTTCGATAACGCCATCCCTATTTCAGGGGTAGATACGCGAGTTTGCTATACACTATCAGCCTTCTAGAGTTCTAGGACCCTCTCATTTTTTTCTCTTTCTAGCCAATGAAACCATACTCCTCGTTCCTTCCCTCCAGTTTCAGGTCCCGGCATCCCTTTCGCGACGGCCATCAATCAAGGTTGTCAATTTGTAATGGCGATTCTCTGTGTCCATCTACGTTCCAACCACCCCATTCTCCTTATTCCGAATCCCTCGAGCTCCCATCTC